CTTTATATATAAACAGTGTTTTTTTAACTTTTTAGATTTCATGAACTTCGAAGATTTCCTGGATATATTAGAACAATAAATGGAACATATCCTATAACAAGTTCATAACATGAAAAATAAAACTACAATGAGGAAAATGGTTCCGAAGCATCTACAAGAGATATATTTAAGAGAAACAAAAAGAAATCAAAATAGTGACTTGATTCTTTTTTAAAATATTTAACTTATAGAAAGAATATAAGCGTAGTTAATCAAAAAATATCAATAAAGAAAATATTTTTTTATTGATAAATTAAAAAAAGAATTTAATCTGAAAAAAAAGTATTATCTTGTTAAATAAAAATAACATAAAAAACATAGAAATGCTCAAACAAAATAATCCCAAAAATTGTGTTTATTAAAATCAGTGTATTAATATGTAACATTGTCAATATTTTTTGCAATTTTTCATTTTAACATTTATCATAGTTTTACAAATGTATTCTACAGAAATCTCTTCATTGCTTTTTAAACTATTTAAGAAATGCTTTTTTACAAACTATTCTCTACCTCTCTATATATATATTTGTCTTTGAATAGAATACTTTTGTCATATTTGGTTTATTTTTTTAATTATTTTCAGTTAACTCCTAACGTAGTTAGTGTTTACTCGTTGGAGTTAAATTTTTTTTTTTTTTAAAAAAAAAAAAGTTTCAGCAAGAAAAATGCAAAGTAACAACTTTGTGTCCGACAAAAAAAAAATTTTGTATCGTATATTTTAGTTAATATATCAAAGTATAAAACTCAGATATATTAATTCAAAATATATACTATATATTATATAGTAATACTTTATTTAAAAGGTTTTCCTTTCAAAAGTACTCTCCGTTATTGTTTGCAAGCATCTTTTCTAATTATGCCTTCAAATCAACGCCTTTTTAATTTTTCAAGTTTAACTTTCTCTAGCGCGATCTTAAAAAATTTCAATTTTCGTTTACGCATTTACTCAAACTTTTTTTCTTAAATAGTCAATTTAGACTTCGAAGTTCAAGATCGAACTTCACTCAAGATCGAACTTCACTCAAGTTCAAACTTCACTAATAATCACTTCTTGCATTCCACCCTAAAAGAATCTTACTTCAACTAGGTTTTAATACATTAGATTTTAAAAATTTGTCTTAAAAAAGATGATTTTTAAATTTAAAAAAAACAACAACGTTTTCAATATCACTAAATGTATATTATTAAACATATATCAAATATATTTGGGTATTTTTAACGTTTTGTGTAAATTTTATTTTTTGTCTATAAAGATGAAAAATATATAAAAGGGGCTCGGTGATAAGACCGCTCAAAATACTTATATTGGTCTACTGAAATTCCGCTATAGAATGTTTGATGGGTACCTAAACTTTTTGTAAATATCACAAATTTTTCCTGTAGATTTCAGGGGTTTTATATAAAAATGGAGGATTTCGGAATGTCGATTTGAAACCGTAAATGGCATTTATCAATAAGTTGTCCGCCACTTTTTGTCTAAAAATCTTAAAAAAACTATTTTCACATTGAAAATAGTTTTTTTAAAGAAAATGTTTATGATTTATCTTAGTGTACAAATATTTTCTGATTTGTCTTTTTGTAATATTTTCTAGTTTATTGTAATATTTTTTAATTTGTTGTAATATTTTCTAATTTTTTGTAATTTCTCTTTATGTTCTAATAATTAATACAAAAACCAATTCCAAAAAATGCGTTTTATAACAAAATAGTATGATTTACGATTGAAAAACCAAACCAATATTTTTTTGTAAATGTTTTATTATTTCTTTACAAAATTTTACATTTACATAAAAAATAGTAGGTTAGTTACCAGGTAACTAACTTACTATTATACTTAACTTACTACAACTACCATCTTAGTTCCTAAACAACATTCTACAATAAACAATTTATAATGAACTTTTTTTTTAGTATGTTTATTTCGCCTTAAACAATAAATACAATTTATATGTATATATATACAACAAAATAAGTAATAACTGTAGCAAGAAAAAGACATAATTCTATTTTATTACCGGGCCCCATTTTTTTTAAATCGTGATTTATAAATATCATATTATATTGGCGTAAATATACAGTAATTAGTAGTTCCTAAAATGCTTACATTATCTGCAGTTGCAAAAAAAAAAAAAAAAGGCAGCTGCAGTTGAAAAAAAACGATTATATAGGGGAAGGTTGTGTAAGATGAGCAGGTTCCTAAGATGGTATAAATTCTTTTACGGGTAGAATAACGATATTTTCGCGAACTTTTTTGGTTAAGGATATTCATACAAGTTCGACGGTGTTTAATTTCTTGGTTGTTTAGTTAATATTCTTTGATTGTTTTACTGTTAAAAAAGTTTACCATCCCCGTTATAATTTTTTATTATTCAATATTTTGTAATTACGTCAGAACGAAAAAAGATCATCACTTTAAGAAAAGAGCGTTTTTTTTCAGTTAATCTCCGCGGAACTTTATTTTGGTATTTCAAGAGCGAAAGTTTTTTCAAAAAAAAGTATCGTTAACTTTTTTAGAGATTAGAAAAATTTATTAGTGTTTTTTTTTATGGTTGAGATAATTACTTTTTACTTAAGTATAATCCTTGAAGAAAAAATTTTATTTTATTTTTTTTTTGTGATTATTTTTTTGTTATTTTGAGTTTTTTTAAGTTCCATAAAAAGCTCATCTTAGGAAACTGGTTTCCTAAAATGATTTGTTGAAGGAAGCGCAATTTTTGGTATAAAGATTTTTTTTTAAACGAAATATTTATTTATATTCTTTGAGAAGAAAGATGAAATTATCATTATTCTTAAAAAAAAGTATATCTTTTGTAATCTTTTGGGAGCAAAATACATTACACTGAAAACATGCTCAACTTACGCAACCTTCCCCTACTTGTAATAAAAAAAAAATGAAAAAAAGAGATATATTTATATTGAGTGAATATTTATATTTATATTGAGTGAATTATATCATTAACAAACTTTGTTATGGTGGATTGTGATAATAACATTCTTTTAAAAGAATTTTTGTTTACAATATTAATCTTTATTATGCAAAGCTTGTATGATTATGAACGATAGATATGATTGATATGATTGTAAACGATTTATAATATTTATAATAAAGTTAATTATTCTTATAAATAGCTTTGTAATAAAAATAATAATTATTTAAAATCTATGATAAGTTGTTTATTCGCGGCTGTTACGCTGTCGCTAATACTCAGAATATGAAAGAATTTTTACTGCGAATTGCAAATAATTAATTATCTCAAGAAATATACAACTTTTTTTTATTTTGTAAAAAGTACTATTTATATAACACATAAGAACAGTAGAAAAATATTATATTAAGTAATTGAAACAGTTTTTACTCGAATCATACCTATTACTTTAGAAAAATGTTCAAAAAGTTTTTTTTTTTAATTTTGAACAGAATCCCACTCGGCTCCCCGCTACATTAATGAGTTGGTAAAAGCAAATAGCTGATGCTCAAACAAAAAATTAGAAACATTTTTCTCACAAATTCTTCGCTTTATACAAATTAATGATAAAAAAAAATGCCTCAGAACAAAATTTTATTACAGACAAGTTGTTTTTGTTAATTGTTTGTTTTGTTTTTCTTTTATTTATATATTAAGTACAAACAATTAGGCGTAATCATTTACGATTTGCCTTCTTTACTCTTTATGGATTAGTAGAGTGTTTGAATAAACAAGTTTTCTGTTAAAAAAAGTTTAGAATTGTAAAATTACAAAAAAAGCATTAAGAATTTCTTGAAAATGAAACTTACAAAATCTAATTTCGCTTATAAACGCGAGCAACTAAACATATAATTTTTTATATAATACGAGGCAACTTGTTGATAAATTTGTATTTGAATCCGCTATTTGGCTCGTTACGCTATTGAAAAGTTATAGGGAAGTTATAGGATTTTGAAAAATGTTATGTGATGTTCATAATGACTTAAGTAGCGGATTTCAACAAACATATTGCAAAACCTTTAAAACACAATGCATAAAAAATTATGCCAAAAGCTTTTGAGTTATCACGAGAAATGCATTTGTATATAGCTCATTTTCTAGCTTTTTTATAAAAAGTTTTATTTTACCAGTAAAATATTGATTTTGATTGTTAAAATAATGAAAGTTATTTTACTTGAAAAAAAAAAATTATTTATTAATATTGCTTGGTTATTTAACTGCGCATTAAAAAAATAATGAAGACTATTAAAGAAATATATTTTAAAATATAAAAGATTAAAAATCTTAGGTTAAACGAAAATATGCGCAAACTTCTTTTTTTCAAGCCCTTTGAAACAGCCGTGTATTGAAGGATTTTATTCAGAAACTAAAAAGATAGTAGTTGATCACGATTTACTTTGTTTTACGTTTTTCCTACATAAGGTTTTATGTTACTCCGACTTAATGTTGCATATATAAATGTTGTTACAAACTTACCGCTACATTAGTTCTGACGGAATTTAGCATAAATAAATAAATAAAATGATAGAAAAAATTGGTTATGGCTAACTCAAACTTTCGAAATCTCAATAACTTTTAAGTCATTTTAGAAAATTTCAATTTTTTATCAAATTTTTTTTTTATCAAACGTTTTCATAAAGAAATTTTAATTATAAAAAAATCCAGTAACGAAAACCATATGCTATAGTATAACACTTTAAAAGCGTTTTAAAAGGTACCGTATAAAACTTTACTAAATACTATTAAGCACTTAGTGACTTTAAAACAAAGCAGAACGAAACTTTGCGTTTTGAAACCGTGTGTTTTGAATACTAAACAAAGCGCTGCAAACTAAAACGGTATCTTTTCAAGTCGTAAGGTTTAAATATTAAGTTTCCACACACAAAAAACGAACAAAATATGTTTTTAGCAATGAGATCACTGAGAGTTTATTTCACGCACCAATAATTTGAACGTCTATAAGCAGAAACTGGTTGGTTGAACAAGTGTTTGCTCTGCAGCTTTTTTGTTTCTACTGAGTTTAATTAATAGTGGTTGTTTTTAAACTTGTGTAAGTAAAGATGGCGTTACCCTTTTTGATAAATTTGCTATTGTAAAAGTTGATTTTTTTCCCCCTTGAATATTTCAACAAAGATATAAATAAAACATATAAGGTAACAATATGTTTTTTTTTTTTTAAATATGGATAAGGTATAACCCTAAAAAGTGTTCGCACTTACCTATACTATATTTGTACTTATCTGTACTATGTACCTGCAAAAAAACCTTTAAACTTGTTTATATTTGTACATTGGTGTATTTTTAAATCTAAATGCCTATATAATACAAAAAAAAAAAATGAACTAAAGTTAGAGATTAAACTAAAAAACAGTGTTTTAAAAAATTGCTTTCATTTTTTATGTATATTTAGATGGGTTGCCTCCATAAACATGCTGAAATTTTTCTTGTATCAATTATGAGTTTGGTTTTAATAGGTAAGTTTAAAATTTTCTTATCTTTTTGTAAAATATTATTGAATGAAAATTATCTTTTTGTAAAATATTATTGAATCTTTAAACGTAAATTTAGGTCTTTAACTTTCAAATAGAAAAAACCGAATTCGTATAGTCATAAGGATTTGTTTCGGTTTTTAATTTTAATTATTCTATATATCATTATTTAATATAGTAATTTTGTCATTTTCTCAATTAGTAATAGATACTTTATTGGCTGAACAACCGGTTTCGGATTGAATGTAGTTTTGATTCAAAAATACTGTTGAACACATATGGTTTATTTTATAAAAAGTGTGTCAAATAAAATAAGTATGTTGGTAGAAAAATATGAATCATATTTTTAACAGAACTTTCAAAGATGTAAATGGCCATTTGAAACTTTTTGCATGTTTGTGTCTTCTTACTAGTTTTCTTATTTTGGTTTCTTTGGTAATTCAGTGAATAAAAAAATAGTTTTTCAAACCTTTCCAAACTTTTTTAGATGTAGTTTTTGATAAAAATCTTACCAGGTGTGAAATTTGCAAGTTGAACAAAAACGAACAAAAATTAAACCAAGATAGTTTAAAAAGCATGTTTGTTTGTTTTTTATTCACTTTAAACTTTAACTTCAAAGCTTTTAATAAAATAGTAAAAAGGTACAAAAGTTTAGATTTTTGAAAGCAACAAAAAACAAACAAAAATGAGCCCGCCAACAAGACCGTGTTTAAAAACTTCTCAATGTTAGTAAATTAAATTTGTTCCTTCAAAAAACTGAATCTTTTTAATTCTGTACGTGTTGGTATTGGTGGAGGAAAAGAACCTCTAAAGATGTTCATTTATGTGCTTGATTCATCTGCATTAATAATCATCGGCAAAAATAATGGTACTCCGATGGCGGTACCTAAGGTAGTCCCAATGATTTAAAAACGTTACGAAATTAGATCGGGTAGCTGACGTAATTATACACACAATCTTTCATTGAATTAGTATCAGCAATTAATTATTAGGATCACCCGATTTAAACATGTATTAAGTCTTGTAGATGTCTGTGAAAAAAGTATTAAACAACTATATTATATACAAAATATTATTTTTAAAAAAGGATATGTTTTCAATAAATTAGTCTAAATTCAAATCGGATTGTTTGAAGCTTTTTTGAGCGCTCATCCTTGTTGTGTATTATATAAAATAAATGTATAGTAAATATATTAGTAATATTATAGCATAAAATATGTAGTATTATATCTTTTATTACTAATATTTTTGTTATCAACTATTGTTTTTATTTGTTTTTTTCATTAAACGTTGATGATATAAATGTGATGCAGTAGTTAGAGCGTTTGCTTTAGAAGCAAGAGATTCAGAGTTCTGAACATGTTTTGCATCATCGGTAAGGAAGGAGGCGTGAACTTTTTTGTTAAATGCTCTTCCGCAATGCTTTGAGATAAGATTGTTAGCTATTCTTGCGGCGCCTAAAACAAACAAAAATTATTTAAAATTTATAAGATTAGTATATTAGTATAATGATAAAAAACTGATTCAAAGTTTTTGTAAAAAACTATTTATGAATAAAAAATATGTTTATTAATTATATTATTAATTAATAAATAATAATTTACCAATTAATGTAGTAAAGAACATTGAAAATTCAGATTTTACACTTTACCTATCAGAATGATGTGACGAAACTTATAAAATTGAAAGAAAATTAACTTTATCATTAAATTGTAAAATTAAATTTGATCAATAACCAATCTAAATAATAGCAGCTGAACGTCAGCTAAGAGTATGTAGTGTAGACAACAAGTAGACATGTATGTAGTATTTTTTAGCCAACAGACATTTAGCCGACGTTCAACCGGTATTGATACATTGAAAAAAACCTAACTAATGTGTAACATTTACAACAACATTCATCAACAACAACAAAAAAAGATTGGCGAGTCTTCTGCTTCACAGGAAACTATATGTTTTTGATGCGTTTGCAAAAAGGATTTTACTTGAATGGAAATATTAGATTGCTAGATTCCATATTAATGATTAGTTTGGTAAGCAGAAGTTTTAACTTGATTATACATTAGAACAAACACCTGAAGCAGTGCGTAAAACATAAACAAGACACTGAAGAGATTTATTTTCTTTAAATAAATGGAAATATTAGATAACTAGATTCCATATTAATGATTAGTTTGATAAGCAGAAGTTTTAACTTGATTATACATTAGAACAAACACCTGAAGCAGTGCATAAAACATAAACAAGACACTGAAAAGATTTATTTTCTTTAAATAAATGTCAAACGTGGAAAGGAATTAAGAGCCATTGTTGAAGAGATGGTGAAAAAATTTATATCCATATTGAAAGAATAAAATTACTTGTTGGAGCATATTGCTACATTTAAAATATTATTTGTAGTATTTACGGTTTTTATGCCTAATATTAATTTAAATTATATTATTTTACAAAAGTGCACTATGCACAGAGGCTAAAATACCCTAAAAAAACGTCCCCGGGTTAGAAAAACTAAAGTGAATAAAAATATTTCTTTACTATTTAATAAGTGACTAAAAAAATGCGTCGAAATAAAGTTTAAAACTACCTAATTTTAGTATCAACGTCAAAATATAAAAGATATTAATTAGGTAGTTTTAGTCGGTTAAATGATTTTTAATTTTTTTTCCACGGCTTTTATCTCTTATCAACCTTTTAAAACAAGTGTTTAAAAAATTTTTAACTAAAAATAACTGAAATTCGCTTTAAAAAGCAATTACATGTTGTTATTTTTTTATTGTAATAAGAAACTAACCAAATTCACTAGTACTAAAAAGTTTCTTATTTTAGTGGTTCTGTTTTACCAATCTAGTACTAAAAGTTTCTTAAGTTTGCTAAAATATTATTCATTCGCAATCAATTCGGAATTTAATTAAAAAAGCGCAAAATATTTCAAAAAGTTTAACCACCTTTGTTTGGACAATTTAGTAATGAGGACAACAACCTAAATTAAATAACGTAGTGAAGGGCCCTTGGGCAAAAGGGGCATTGTTATTAGGAGTCTGAGCCAATCAATGTAAGTAACAACATACAACTACATCAATGAAAGTAACAACATACAACATACAACTCTTTTGAAAAAAGCAATGGATAGTTTTTAAATAAACGTTGTTTGATGACAGTTCTGGATTTATTTAAAACTAATGCGTTTAACAAAGATTTTGCTGCAAAACAGATAGATTCTTCTTTATATCTCTTCAAACAGCAAATATATGTTGTTCATTTTTAAATTTCAAAAGTATAACAGTAAAGATTCAGACAAAATAGTTAAACATCCTACAAATTTTCAACAAATGTATCTAATGCCTTTCCAAATCCAATTGGAGATTGTGGACAGTATTTTAGTAGGATAGTAAGATTGTAGACCTTCAAAATGGAGATATGAACAGAATTTCAGATTTGTTCAAATTGCTAGCAAAAAAATTGTGATATATGTTGCTCATTCACTGAAATAAACTTAACACTTTACCTATGTTTGACATTACCCATTAGCGTGGACAACAATGAATTTGAGGACAACAATGGCTCAAGACCGTTTATCTGTACTAAACCTATTGACTATTGAATCATAAGAAACAGTTATTGCTCAACTTGCATTTATGAAGGTAAGAAAGAAATAATTTTATTAGATTTTCAACATAATACACATATATACTCTAACATACTGATTTATATGTTATTAAATTAAAATTTTGTTTTAGAATAAGATTTTTATTTTACACGAGTAGTATTTTTGTTAAGGTGGGGGGGGGGGGGGGGGGAGGGATGGTTCAGAGAAGTAATTTAGGGGCCCGGATTATAATTTTAAAGGAGTGTTATTTTTTGTCGCTACGCTACTTCCTGGATCATTATATTTTCTGCATAAGTTGCTTCAGTTTCTTGTTTAGTATTTTGATCATTTTGTACAGGGTTATTGTTTAATGTGCCCGTGGTTTGGAGGTAGAGACGTTGTCACTTAAATAGACTGTAACTTTGATTGACTGTCACTCAAATTTTTAATGATATGAACAAGTATAGCGTTGATTATTCAAATCACTATCAGCTTTTCGTAAAGTTTCTAAATGTACAAATGTTTTTTATCAATACCTTCTGCAACAAATATTTTATAATACATTTATGGATGGTTTCAAGTTTATATTGTACTTTAATTTTAGTAAAGATATAAAAGAAAAAGTTGTATATCAGAAAAAAATAGACATCTTATTATTTTGTAGTGTATTTAAATTTTTTCAAATCAATTTTAGTATTTTGTAAATAAATTTTTGCAGTTTTATCAATTTTTGATATTAATTAATAATTTTATTGCTATTTGTATAATGATTCCTGTATGTTCGTTAAATAAAAAAGTCCATTTGTGTAACTTTAGTATCATAGAAAACCAAACACATCAATTATGTCAAGTTTAACAAGGGGATTATTTTGTTGTCTAATTATCGAAAAACAAAAAATAAAACAAAAAAATTTTGAAACTTAAATACGGCCATTTAAAATAAAAATTTGTTTTATTTATTTAAAAATAATATTGAATTTTGCTTTCCCCCCTCGTCCCTACTTCCTTTTCCCCTTCTTACAACAAAATTGCTAGGTTCAGGATTTATGATAGATCATTTGTTTGATTAAATAAAGCTGACCTTAAAATTATGCAACAATTGTTAATTTTTTTAAATATTGTATTTCTTATTAATTAAACAAATTTAAAATGTTTAGCAGCATTTTAGTTAAAGCAGAACTTGGTTGGCCATCTGGAACTTACGGTCTACCAGAACCAGCAACTGGATGTCCAAATTTTGGTAAAACTCAATGGCGACGTGGTTATACTTATCATAACACTGAAGACGAAAATCCAGCAAACAAACGTTCTCAAAATTATCATTTTGCAGGAAACTTTTCTCAACACGGTATACAACAACGATTTTGTATAAAAGACGATGCTTCTGGATCCAATGAATTTTGGCCAGAAGGAAAATACTGTATATACAAAAAAGGTATTGATAGAAATTTTTTCTAAATTAACATTTAGCTAATAATAATATAATCAATATATAATTTATATAATATATAATATATTATATATAACTAATATTTAGCTTAATTACTAAAACAAATTTTATGAACTGTTAGGAGTTTGCCCTAATGGTTTAAGCGAAGGATTTGTAAAATGGGATGATGAACACTCCTTGATCGATCTTCCGAATAAGAGATTTGGAGTTGTTCCTGATGGAATTTATGAAAATAAGCAAACTACTCTTAATTTTTGTTGTAGCACAAAAGGTGATGTAAATGCTCATATCAGCTTACCAAATCTGAAACCGTTTTACCTGATGGCATACGGCTCTCCTTTATGTCAACGAGTGACAGGTACACGCGTAAGTTAAATGTTTGTTTTAGCTACACAAAACAAATTAAAAAAAAAAAAAAAGATTTTCATGCGCAACTTTTATAAATTTGCATATAAGCGGCACATTTAAACATATTTATCGTTTAGTTTTGATTTTTTAATATTAACTTTGAAGTTTGGTTAATTTTTTTTTCGACAAGTTAATTACAGTATTTCACAAGTACTACCCCAGCTAGCACACTTACATTGGGGCCAACGTATGTAAAACCATCGCGAACGTTGACTCTTTTTTCCGTTATATATAAATGATATTGGATATCAACGTTGGTTTTCCAATGGAAAACCAACGTTGATATCCAATATCATTTGGTTAATGATAAAATTATTACCGACGGAACTAAAAGCATCTGGCAAATTAACATTGGTTCAATATATGTTAAAACATTGGTAAAAACATATGTAAAAACATTGTAAAACATATGTAAAAACATTGATTCAATATATGTAAAAACATCGCAAAAATTTGATTGTTTTTACGATCTAAACTCAATGCTGATTCAATGTATTTATTTCGACGTTGATTCAATGTATATAAATCAACGTTTTTCCAATTTATGTAAATACATCGCAAAAGATTGATTGTTTTTACGAACTAAACCCAACGATCAACAATGTATGCGACCAAACATTGCTATTGCGAAACTATATAACTTAAATAAAATCTTCCGTGATTATTAAAATATCAAACCACAATCAACACAAACATGATTTATGTTCGGATGATTAAGCATTATAGCATCTGAGAGTAGCAATTTACTTATATTTATTTATATATATTATACGTGTACATATAAAAGTAGACTCTGGATGAAAATCTAACTCCGAATAACATTGTATGCAACCCTTTGCCCATTAGAGTTCAAAATGTAAATACAACGTTGGGCCAATGTATAAAATAAAACGTTGAATCAACTTAAAAATTTAACCATTTTCCGACTTTAAATAAACGTTTTATCAACATTGGTTTTTAGTAGTTAGCGACGTCGCATTTGTAACCATAATGATATAAAAACAGCGGATGTTGGGCCAACGAAACGCGCGACATTGTTCTAATGTTCTAACAACGTATGTGTGCTAGCTGGAACAATATTTTGTCTTCAAACAAAAGATGCCTTCGGTTATTACTAACCACATTTTTACAAGAAGCACCCGGTGCTAAAAATAAATGTATATATTTCATATCATATATTATATTTATAAATATATTTTGCATATTATATATCAATTTTAAAATCTCTGTTATTTTAAATAAAAATTATAGTAATTATCGCAAAACCAAATTTTAGGTAACGCAAATAATAAAGAATAAAAGATAAACAAATATTTAACTATTTAAGAACGAAAGAAAGAAAAAATTAAACAAAGTAGTAAAAAAAACTTATTGCTAAAAAACGTCATTTTCCTTTCATATTTAGGTTTCTGCATAATTGGTATCTAAGCTAAATTACTGTTTAGAATAATTTTTTTTTCAAAATCTTTTGTTTTTCATTTTTTCTTTTTTCACGAGCTACTTTTGCTGTCTTTAAGTTTTGTGTTGTAAACCTACTCTGATGCGAGAACAAAAAACATTAAATTAGTTATTTAAAAAACATTAAATTAATTATAATAACGTAGCTGGAGGAAGACCGAAGTAAAAATACGTCATTTCTCAAAGAACAGTCTTAGTAGTAAATCATTTTCGATTAAACACCGCGGAATTATCATAAGGGATCGTCCATAAATTACGTAACGCAAAATTTCTCAATAAGCAAGACAAAAAAAGATCAAAAGTTTTCCCTTGCAGAGTCTTAATTTAAATAAATAATCAAAATAGGAAATTAAGTTAAATGAAAATTGCCGTGTAAAAGAGCCTAATATCTCCTACTTCTATTCTTGAAATATTTAATTAAAAGTTAACCAATCACATTCCACTTTTAACAAAAGCTTTCTAATGATTTTGTTTCAAAACCTCATAAGCAATTAAACCATTACAAATAATAAAATGGAAATTTAAAAAATTAGTAAACAATATTTAAAGTCAGTTTGTTGTTATTTTGCTTTTTGAACGACTAATTATAAATTTCTAGATTAGAATTAAATTAATAAATGTCTAGATAAGAATTGGTAGTATTTTTGCCATGTATTTTATATCTCTTTATATTTTTGCCATGTAATTTATATTTCAAATAAAGCAATTTGCTTTTAAATCCAGCAAAAATACTCCAACACAAAATAAAATCCTGGCCGGATTTAATAAGTTCCTGGCCAAAAGAACAGTCTTAAAGAACGTAACTAACCTATGGCTGAACAGGCGAGCAAAAAATAAGGTTCAAAAGGTAGTAGAGATTGTCTAAAACTTTGATATTTATACCTATAATTGGGGTACGCACATAGAAGATTTTTTTTCGGGATTTCCCGGAATTCCGGAAATTCACTTAAAACTCGTTTAATTTTCCAGAAATTTTCGGATGTTTTTTGTTATTAATGTGAAAAAAAAATTATATATTTTCACGAGATCAATTTTTTTTTCGTTTTTTAATTCATTCAAATTTACTTTTTCGAATATTAGAAATTCCTTTTTGTAAAAAGTAAAATAATCTAAATTCCATTTGAAAAGTTTACGAAAGTTTTTGTTGTCAGTTATATACGATCAATTTTTAATAAAATAATTTTCCGGGATTTTCATAGAAAAAAATTTCCGGGATTTTCATAAAGTCAAATATTCATCTATGTATGCAAGAAAAAGTTACTTCACCTTAATCGTAATTTTTGTTTTAATTAACGTCTTGATTGATCAAATAGTTGTTAAAAACATATCCAACAAACTTTCATTTTATTAATCCATTTCGATTACAACTCTCAAAGCTTACTGATTACGTTTCAAAATTTATAATTTTTTTGCAAAAGCGCCATTTTGACTTGCTACTGGAATAATTACAAAGACTGTAACGCGATTTAAATCCATTTTCGGTTTCGTTTTCCCTTTAGCTAAGCTCTTATACCTCCTTGGTTTTTTTTTTTTTTTTTTTTTTTTTTGGGGGGGGGGGGAAGGGAGGGGTTAATTTATGGTGAATGATAATTGAGAACATCTGAGTCTTTGCCATATGGGCAAATAGAAAAACACAATGCGAACCTCTCTTACGTCAGCTTGGAGCTTTAAATATTTATAAGCTTAATATTCATCAAGTAATGTTATTTATGTTTAAAGCAAAACTTGGGTAACATTCCAGTAACATTTCAATCCTACTTTAATGAAATCTCCCATAAATATCCAACCAAATTTTTAGTGAATAACTTTGTGGTTCCCATAAACCTTCTTAAATTAAGTTCGTACTAAATTCAATATCGGGGACCTATAGCTTGGAAAAAATTTCTTCCAATCTTTAGTAAAAAACAAAACTTCGTTTTAAACTGCACTTTGCAAAGTTTTAAGAATGATTCAAAACGGCATTTAATGAACATGGAATTCGATATATTAGATTTCAAATACCTTTTTTTGAAAATAATTTAAAGGTTTAAACTAAATCACTTAAAAATAAATTAAATCTTTATCACTTTCTTTAGCTTTTATTAAAATAGTTTCAAACCATTAGTATAAATAATAACGAAAATAAAATTGTCTTTTTCGTTCATATTTTTGATGATATTAAATAATCAGCCCAAATACTTATGTTTACATATATTGCTTCTTTTTTTTTAATTAAAAAACGCATTTTTTTTTGTGTGTTTTTATAACTTTCATGATTTTCTGTCGCTTTTACTTTTTTATTTTTAAAATTATTCTGCTGGAAGATTGTTAGCAATGAATTATTTTATTGCTGAAGTTTTTGATTTGTTTTTTTTCTTGTATTTATACTATGTCTTTTTGTCTTTTATCATTTATTGTGCATGTAAATTTTTGTGTGACGGGGCTCGGTGGTAAGACAACCTGTCTTCTTCTTGCTCCGACCAGGATTTTTTTTTATTGTTATTTCTTTTTTGTAATATTTATCAACGGCAAAATAAATAAATAAATAATAATAATAATAATAATAATAATAAATGGACATGATGAATTAGAAATGGAGATAACTTGAGATTTGTTGATGGGTTGTGAGAAGTTTTTTTTTATCATCTGGAAGTTACAAAAATTTAATAACTGAATTTAAAAAACATTTTGCAATCTGGACTCCATACAGCATTGATGAACTATCAAAATGAGGTTTTTCGAACTCGTGTATATTCAATTACTTCTGCAACTTGAAAGCTTAGTTCTGTATCAACATCCATATCCACAGTATTGTCTTGAACAGAAAAATCAAATATTTCATTGTTTGCTATCAATTTGGTTCTTGCGTTGCTGTGTTTTGATTGATCAGGCAATGATAGAAGGTTTGAATCAGTTATAGCACATTTCCACGTATTCGAATTTAAACTACAAAGGTGAGAATGTGACACTGTTACCTCTGGGTAGTCATTCATAGTTGTTTGACAGACATTAGAATTTGTGTTTTTAAGTAGTTTAAAAACCGCTGTTACAAGGCTGCAACCAGTTGCTGGTGTGAGCTAGAAACACTACATTTCCAATTTAGTTCAAAATGGTCAAATAAAATTGTGAGAGTTGAGTACGTTTAGAATTAAAATCTGTGGTTTTGTAAAATTATTACTATTATATATATATATATATATATATATATATATATATATATATATATATATATATATATATATATATATATATATATATATATATATATATATATACATATATATATATATATATATATATATATATATATATATATATATATATATATATATATATATATATATATATATATATATATTAAAATCATGTAATAAAACTAAACATTTTAATCAAATACTTTCATTAGAGAGGTTGTCCACCTGATATCAAGGTATTGAGTTGATATGGCTAGTAATTGAATTATATAATAGACCAGTAAATGGTATATCGGAAAAAGCTTTTCTTTATTAAACTCAGATAAAACGTTATTTGTGGGCGTACGAAATATCACTATTTTTAATAATTTACGATTTTACAATTCGCCATTTTTCTAAAAGAACACTCGAATAATGTAATTTTTACGCAGGTAAGTTATATTGATTGATAAAAAAAATTGACTGGGACATGACAATTTATGTGCGTGATGTTTTATTTTTCTCTGTTTTAACAATTAGAAGCTGGGACCTAAATCAATATGCATACTATAATGACTTTCTTAAAGAAGAACTTTAACATAATTTCACTTGAAATACTCACAAGCAATCAATTTTCTTTAAAAAAAGTACATGAAATTGACAAGTTCGCAACTTTTGTGCGTGATCATTGATGAATTGAATTTAAACGATTGCTGTTACTCTATGATACATAGCGCAATCCGGTATTTACTAATATCTGAAATATTATTCTAAAAAAAAAGTATACTGCTGAAACATACATTTTCGAAGGAATTAAAGTGTATTTATATAGTAACTAAAATTTGCGCTTTTCTGTTCTGTGCGCGCGCAGAAAAAACGCAAATTTTTTTAAACCACGCGCGCGTGATTCCGCTTTAATTAAATAATTTTTTGTTTTCAAAATTTTTATATAGATTAGATTTAAATGAGAGTAAATTGGAGAATGTTTTTTTTTTTTAATGAAAATATTAGACAAAACATATACGAGTTTCTGTGCGTGATTTTTCGGAAATGCCCGCTATAGTGTTACAGCAATCAAAAAACAAATATAAATCTTATTGCCGTTTTAATTTCTCAAACATCGCTAATGAAGTATTCGTGTTTTAGTTGATCCAAATTTGACTTTTAGAACATTTTTTTAAATAAACTGACCTGTTATATTGTCGGCTTTTTCATTATTGACGGTGCAATAAAGTAACGACATCTTTAATTGTATATAATATTTGTTTTTATCGTTATTTTGAATAAATGAGCTAATAAATTAAGTAGAAAAACTTATACAAAAAAGGTTGATCAACTAAACAAAATTTTTTTTAGGCATCTATGGAGTTTATTAAATTTGACGACAACGATAAAGGAAGTGAAAGTAAATTTGGAGGAAGCCACCCTTATGGTCCAAATGAAGACTTATTTAATACTAAAATATATTACTGCTACTACGAACCAGGTGAAGAATCAACTGATGATTTAGGAACAGGGAAGAAAGTTCTTTCAACGGTAAAAATCGATTTTATTTAATCAATAAATAGCATAACTAAACTTAATATTTATTACTATCATACATAACATATATACTTTATGCAGATTTTCCCAACTATTGTTTAAATAAAGATTAAAATATTTTTGCAGGAACACGCAAAAACATCTTCTTCTGGTTTAGCAGTGGCTATTGGTTGTGGGGTTGCAGGAGCAATAGTAGGAACTGCAGCCATAGCTTTTGCTACTAAAAGTATTTTAGCTTCGAGGTCAAAAGGCGGAATTGATTTAGCAGACATGGATCCACAGCCAGACACACCATAAACATTTTTAAAAGTGTTAACTTAACAAAATCAGTTTTTAAAAAGATCAAAATCAATTTTTAAAAGAGCCACGCACCATGTAAATATAAAAAATTCATATGAATGTTATGACTACCAACGCTACACAAACTAAAATACGGCACCGACAAAAACGTCTTTTAAACTAACAAAATATTTTTTTATACCACAGAAAATAACCACAATCGTACTTATGCAATTAAAATTATATATCGAACATGTAAAACTTTTACTAGAACAAGTTCACCAAAACAAACTTTAATAAAATGTATATATTTTATAATAAATATTTACACAAAAATTTTATATTTCATATTATCTACAAAAATAATCTATAAACTTTAATAGAAGCTTAACTTTTCAGAGGCAAAGAAATCGCAACAAATGCGTTCAAAAATTTATAACCTATAACAAATCGGTTGTGATTTTTCCCTCTTCAAAGTTACGGTACATAATTACATTGCATTAGAAAATTAAAAAAAAAACAGTAAAAAATAACAATTAGTATTACCCGCATCAGAGACGGATTTTCTTTTTTTTCTTTCTTTTTTGTATGAGAGGGGGAGGGGGAGATTTTTCAAAATATTTTTGTAATTTGTATCACATTGCGTTTCCTGAAAAAAAAAAATTTTTTTTAGGACTTTTAGATTCTGGTGGGGGGATGCATACCCCATACCCCTGGATCCGTCACTGACCCACATAAGTGGTAATACTCATAGAAGTGGTCTCTGCATTTTTTTTAAATGTAATGATTTGATGTCTAATCATCACTAAATGATGACATTGAGTCATCCGAATCATCGTTATCGCTCTTTATGTCAAACTGTGTAGCAGTAGGAGGGGCGGGAGCATTTGGAGTGCTAAAAATAAGATTACAAAAAGCAATAAAATTTTAAGCATTTTAAACAAAAACTTTTTTACGTATTTAAAAAAAATAAAATATTTGATAAGTTTTTTATATTTAATTAAACAACCAATAATAATATAAGTTTTAGCACCCCATAATTTTCAGCCCCTGAAACGCAGTTAATTATGTATTTACCACTATATTTTTAAAGGCAAATATAAGTTGAAAAACAAAATTAAAACAGTAGTTAGTATTTCCAAGTTTTCAGGAGCTTTTTTTGATTAAAACATTTAACATTAACGTTCTCAAAACCAAGTAAAATTAAGTAATTCATGTTGATTTAAGCAAAATTTAATGAAGCCCCAAAATCTGCCCCTAGCTAATCTATGAAAGCTGAAGACCGTTGCACCAATTTTCAAAAACAATCATTAATTGATAGTGACGATTTGTTTACTAGAAGATATAGAATGCATAAAAAATCAGCATAAATCAAATCAAAAAGATCAAGCCATGGAACAGATTTTCAAGGTTTTTCTCATCATATTTTGTACATAAAGACGTAATAGTATACATAAAGACATAAATAATAATAATATACATAATAGTATACATAAAGACAAGTATTATTAAAGTTGGAGTAGATAAAATAATCTTTCTGGTACATTCAAAAATACTGCCCTATTTTTTGTTATTAATTCTCCTGTAATACAGGAGAAATTAATTGCACAATCAGGAGAAATTAATTGCAACAGCGAAATTAATTGCACTTTTTCAAACAGCAACTTAATCAAAAAATATGCAATTAGGGTAACTTGGTATAAATAAAGCACTTGTTAACTTTACTTGAACTAAATCTCCATCCTCAGTAGTTAATTGTACCAACTAGCTTCTTATTTGAGGACAACTTTATAAGACTTAATAACATTAACTTAATGTTTCTCTGGTTTAAAACGTTTTATCTAAAGAAATAAAGTAAATAAATTTCTTTTTGTTGACTAAATGAGTTTTAAAAAGACAAAGACTTTTTAAGTGTTATCTTTTTCTTACTATGATTTACAATCACTATTTTAGATTGTGGGATAAGTCAGTAGATTTCTGACTTGTCCCACATGTTACAAAACATGAGTGATATATTTTACATTTTTAAAAAAGCACTTTTTATGAAACAATAGCACCTATATACAAATGAAATAAGTAAAAACTAAAACATGTAATTATTTTGATTGTTTATAAAAAAAACTTTTAAAATGTTGGTTTCAATTAAAAATCAAATAAAAGATTAAACAATAAATCAATAATCAAAAGCGAAAGTTAAAAAAATTAAAAATAATAATATAAAAATAATATATATATATACAAATTATTATAAAACTATTATTAGCTATTTTACTAAATAAATATAGACTTAACTTTTGAATTAAAAATGAGTGAAAAAAAAATTAGCCACCACAATAATGGCGTTTCCCTAAGGACAGGCTGCTTGCAAATTTTAAAATTTGAAAAAAATAATTTGTGCTCCATTTGTTGGGATTGGCTGTATTTGAATATATGGGGAGTCTTATTTCATTCTGGTTCACAGCTCAATCAATGGCATATTTTTTATTCAATCCACATTGAAAAAATCTAATTTAAAAACTTAAGAAGTAATAGCAACTTATTATTTTCAGACTTTTATTGAACACCTGTTATTAAGATATTGTATATTACATTAAGATATTGTATACTATATTATCTAATATATCATGTTAAGATAATCTGTATGTTATATTTAAAGTATATTAAAGACATTTTAAAATTTTTTAAATTTTAATCATCAATTTAATAATTTCTAGACATTTGTCAATCAACATAAAAAACTTACTCTAGTAAATCAGGATTCAAACCCTCCTGAGCAACTTTAGCTTTGACAGCTAGGAGAGGAACTCCCTATAATAGTTAAAGCAATTTACATTTTTATCACAGTGATTTAAAAAACAAAAATTCTAGTAAAAACAAAACAAATAATCCACTGCAATCTACATTATGCATTTAATAGATTTATAAAACAACATTGTAACACAACAAAAATAAGCAAGGGCTTCATTACATACATACATTAACTGAGAGTTAGTGTTTAGGCAGGAAGGATCTATATAACAGATAAAAATTTTTTTCTAATTTGGTTTTTTTCATTCAAACCACCATAATCTTCCCTTACTCCCCATATCAGGAACACTTAATATGGCTGATCTGTCGAAAATCATTGCTATTTTTTTTACTTTTTTTAGTCATACCACATATCCATTTGATCATCATCTTTGCTGTTTTTAAAACGCTGGACATAATTATCCATTGTTCCCCATGTTTTACTACCATACAATATAATACTCTTGAAGCATGTAGTGTATAACTTTTCTATAATCTATTTATAGAAAATTATATATAATTTCTATATTTATGTATGTATTATCAACATAACAAAACTTACCAACACACTCTATTTATCCATAGCTATTCATTTTTTTTTGGCTTCTTTGTACTCAACTAAAGTACATTTTTTAGACTTGAAATCAACCAAAATTAAGACCACCTTGTATAACACTACATCTCTTGTGAACTGATTGTTTAAAAACTATACAAATATTAGAGCCCAACTCCTTTCCTATACATAACACATGATCACTTTCAAAGTTTTCTACTTGCTCTTTCTTGATTTTACAATGCACAACTTTTGTTTTATGTATATATATCCTCAGCCCTTTTGCTTTTATTTTATCTTTCCAACACTGAAATCTTAATAATAATTTTTCATCTCTGGAATTATGCATGGTTAATCAACATAAAACAACTGCTATGGAAAAAAATCTACTATAGCATATTTAGATAACAAATTGTTAATAGTTTTTTCTACTTTTATAACATACAGTGTTTTCAAAAAAAGAAGATAAAAACAAAGAATAATGAAAGTAAAGATTGCTGCTATGTAACGGCATTCCTTTGTAGCAGCAGGCAACAAGATAGTCTATTTAAACTTAATTCAATATAAAACAGTAACTATTAACAACAAGATAATAATAATAACTAATAATAAAACGATAATAATAACTAATAATAAAACAATAATAATAACTAATAATAAAACAGCAATATTATATATTAATTATTTTCATTTTACACTTGTTTAACTTGCTAAATTCCTTTTTATTTATAAACTAGCATATAGTAGTATAAACCTACGCATTTTTTATTAACAATTTTTTTAAAATTAACTTAATTTGAAAGATTATTTAAAATTACCACATTGAGCATCTTAAAAAACTTCATGTAACGAGGGTCTTTTGAAACTGTCATGTTTGAAACTGTTGAAGCCATATCTCAAAAATTCATAAAGTAATAAAAAAGCAAAAGAATTTTTAAATTGTTAAAAAAAATAAAGAAAAATTTGTTCGAAAAAATCACTTTTTAGATATACAAAAAAAAATTTAAACATAAAATGGAAAATAAAAAAGTTGTTTACAAAAAAAACTTTATATGTTGAATAAATCTTACCCTCCACTGTAACTGGAACAATTTCTATAACAAGCAAAAAATCATCCATATACAAAAAATAAAAGATGATCATCATCATCATCATCATTATCATCATCATCATACATTAAAAGTATTACTATCATTGTCGTCATCATCATCATCATCATCATCATCATCATCATCATCATCATCATCATCATCATCATCATCATCATCATCATCATCATCATCATCATCATCATCATCATCATCATCATCATCATCATCATCATCATCATCATCATCATCATCATCATCATCATCATCATTACAATTATGAAATACCTGATTTTTGAATATCTGCATTCTAAAATGTAAATAAAATATATTTTAATTATTACAAAATATTAGCCAAAATAGTAATACCAAAAAATAAAGTTTATGACTAATTATATATGCAGAAATTTTCTTGGAGCAAGCTTGCAATTCATAGGGATGCATCTTATGTTTGAGTCTGCTACTCTATTAATAACATAATTTTAAACAGTTTATAGCTAAATTTTGTTTAATATCATGGTATTAATTTTTGATATACTGTCAGATAGGGTAATATGGCAAAATTTTGACCATTTTTAAAAAATAATTTGCTAAATACAAGAGCTAAAAACTTATAGATTTTATTTAAGAATTACTCCTACAAAATGCACATGTCAAAATCAACCATGTAGCTTTAAAATTTCAACCACAACTTATTAATGAAAATCATTTTTGAAAAATCTAAAAATGGGGTGATTTGGCCGCTTAACAAAAAAACCTAATTTAAACAACAAAACATTGCAACAAATGTTTAAGAGATTAATGAAAATGTAGTTTGACTATTTAATAAAAAAACAATTTAAACAACAAATCATTGCAATACATGGTTATAAAATTAAAGGAAGTATTTTTCGAATCAAAAAATTAGATTTTTAAAACAAAGCTCAAAATACAAATGCGATAAAATACAAAAATTTTTAACAAATTGCAAAGGCATCTCAACCTTTATAATGGTATCTAGATACCTTGGAGCCTTTTTGTAAATAATTTTCTTGGAGGGTTTTTGCTGAGATTAATCTTATCATAGTTTATTAAATCAGAAGGACAGCTTTTTGTTTATTTTCAACAGTCTACACAACCTTGATCAGGTTGTGTAGACTGTTGAAAATAAACAAAAAGCTGTTCTTCACTTACAGCCGCAGCCGCATGGGTCTTTAAAATGTTCTGACTAATTCTCTGTAAAATTAGGTTGTGGTACTTTTTCACAAACTGGTAAGCCTAATTTTACCCAGAGAAGTTCATTTTTGTTTGTGAAGAAAATTTGATGAACATTTGATGAAGTGTTCTAATGAAGCCAGATCCCAAAGCTCTTCATTATGGTGATAAAGTGCTCTGTCATTGCTCAATTTTGAGTAATGACAAGCTCTTACTTAGCAGTTCAGCAAGGTGTATGCATATTTTTGGTCTTATCACATAGATAATTTCTAAGAGTTGGTCTGGAAACTTTGTTGGTCTCAGAGACCGTTTTAAATAGAATACCAGCAGACCGTTTTAAATAGAATGTCCTGCATAGCCTTGTCGAATCTCTATGCTCTGTGGGGTAGTTACTGTGTGTATAAATGTAAATATTTAAAATAAAATATTCATAAAAAACAATACTTGGTTGCATATAACCAAATTTAATATAGATGCGTTTAAAAAATATATAAATAAGAAAAATAGTTCAACCTGTGAACTAAAAACCTTCAAAACAAATGTAACGATAAAGCAATATAATTCAATCAAAAAAATAAAACATACTTGAACTGGCAATTCACTTTCTTGAGATGAAACAGTTGTTGAAGGTACTTTATTCATTGGTTGAACATTTACAGGACCAGTTACATCATCCAGTCCTGGGATAGAAGACAGCTAAACAAACAAAAAACTTTCAGAATAAATTATTTAAAAAAATTTCTTGGTTACTTGTTTTTAAAATAATTAACTTTTATTAAAAATGAAATATTCTTTTTCTTATTTTGTATAATAAGAATTTACTATTTCAAACAAGTTTAACAAATGTTTAATACTTTAACCATGTGTAATTTAAAACCTTTGCTTCAAGAATGCATAACGTAGTTTCCAGTTTTTGAATTTTTCCCTGGAGATCTCTTAACTTCTGGGTAAAGTAAAAAAATTAAAAGTTGAAAAACTGTATAACTATTTGTAAAACAACAAGTATTCGTTACAACCTTTGTATCTATTATTTATTAAACATTGTACTAATAAATAAAATAATTTTCTTAAATTTCAGTTCAACACTAAAATTTTGAAAATCTTTAAAAATCACTTACATTTTCACAATCTCCAGAAAATCTATTTAAAAATCTAACTGTATGTGTTACAAAATGATTGAGAAATGCTAAAGTGCGTTTATAATTAATAGCAGGTGTCTAAGAAAAAAATCATTTAAATCCTTTTTTTCTACATAATAGCATAATCTATTTTTTTACATAAAGTTAGTCAGTAATTAAGCTTGGTTTTAACAATGTAGAAAATTATATATACAAAAATGTTTGGCTAAAAAGCAAGATCAAAACCATATGTATTAAAAACTTAGATTTAGTTTTAAAAACTCAGATTTAGTTGTAAAAACAACTAGATTAAACAGGTTAGCTAGCTTTGCGCTGCAATGTAAAAAAAACTAAAAATCAAAACTCTTAAAGACTTAAGGTAAAAAACTTAATAGTTCTGGGTTTTTTTAAAAAATCAAACTTCCTAAATATCATTTTTCTTCCCATCTTTACACATGTGTCAACAGTAGTAGCTGTTATATTCTTAAGAACTATTTGACGCCAATCACGTCATTATAGAATACGGTTGAATGAACTTAAGTTATTCTAATTATATTTAATTGGTGTGTTATAAAATCTGTTTTGTAGATCTCGAGGTGTGTTTGATTTAATATTTGATAAAAGCCGAAAATATTTAATATAGACTTATTTATTACGGTTTCACAACAGTAGCCATAGCTATAAATTGATTAAACGCAGAGTGTCTGTTAAATGTTAGTCAATTGGATGGCTTACTTAAAATTCTAAAACAAAATTTTCTTACTTTACATTTACATTAACTTTTTAATTCAAAGCATGTTATTCACTTTGTTATTTGGCTAAGCAGTCTCGTATATATTTTTTTCTACTAATAAGACCATGCAAATTCAGATAACAATTTATCAAAAAAAAATTTACTGAAAAAAAACTTACATTTTCAAGATTAATGGTTCCAAAAATAGAATATTCATTTAAATCCATTTCTCAGCTATTTTAAATTTAATAAACTAAATGCAACTTAATGAACAGGAACTGAACTATACTTTTAATTTAACAAACTGATATTTTTATATAAATTTCACAAAAATACTACACAATGAAAATTAAAAAATCAAGAACAATAAAAATAATATATGTATAAATTATATATATTATAGTCATTAATTATATATAGTCATTAATTTAACATATATTATAGTCATTAATTTAGATTTTTATACTATTATACAGTATATATATATATATATATATATATATATATATATATATATATATATATATATATATATATATATATACATATAAATATATGTATATATATATATATATATATATATATATATATATATACATATATATATATATATATATATATATATATATATATATATATATATATATATATATATAATATATGTATATATATATATGTATATATATATATATATATATATATATATATATATATATATATGTATATATATATATATATATATATATATATATATATATATATATATATATATATATATATATATATATATATATATATATATAAATGAAGTTTTTATATATAAATTAATATACTAAAACAGTTTTGCTTCGTAAAACCCGGTGCTGGTCTGGTTTGGCTTTTAAATCATGCATAAACAATTTATTTGTTATGCAAAAATAGTTTTTCATTTTTATCATCTGTAAATAGAGCATATAGTCATCAAACGGATAAACAGAATTGTAAATAGAATTTTTTTGCCAAATTAATTTTATATTATATATACATAGGTATATATAATAATATATAGGCCCGCAGGATTTTTTGATGTTTCAGACACTTAAATGCGCACGCACTTAGCGAAATCCAAAAGGGGTCGTCCATAAATTACGTCATGCAACTTATGACTTCCTTCCCTCCCCTCCCCCCTCCCCATCCCCTCCCCCCTCCCCCTCCTGAAATTTAAAATATGTCGATTTTAAAATAAATTTGAATTTAAATTAAGATTTTTACAACATCAGTGCCCTGATGTTTGGGCAAAAGAGGCAAGCGTGTAAGTGCTTTTTTTGTTCCTATGCCTCCGCCATCCCAAATTTTTGCAAGGCACAATGTAAGAAAGTGTTTAAAATGTGTGAAATTTCATTTTCCACAATGTGTGAAAGTGACTTATCTGAAACATCTGAAAATTCTGCGGGCGCTATGTATAGGTTACAAAAAAATTTAAAATTACTAAAATCGTAAATTTAATATATTATTTTAAAAAGTGGTAAAAATGTATTATAGTTCTTTTGTTATTTAGTTATTTAATTTTAGTAAAATGAAATAATTTACAATTCTAAAGCTATTCCAACTGGTCGTAGGCCAGGTAAATTCATTCATCACAAACCAAATATATTACTCAGTATTTATGTAGTAGATAAAACACTTTTTAGTAAAACATTTATATTATTGACAAGATCATTCGCAGTCTTGGGAACATTTTTTTATAGAAACAATAGTAAATCTTTTCAAGTCAAGAGTAAATGTTTTCATGTCGATTTGTCCTTTGTCCAATTTTACACGTCTGATATCAGGAGTTACAGTGAAACGCAAATATTATGTTTCTCTAAGGAGATGACTTTCAAATAGTAAATCTAATGTTTCAGTACCATTCTGCGTGACAGGGCCTCCATTCTTTTTACAATCTTTCTGTACTTTTAAAGTTTTTCAATTTTTCTGCTTTTTCAGATCTTTCTTTTACACAATAGAACGGTTGGTATAAAGTTCTTTCCTAGTTTTCTGGTCTGTGTCGCCTCAATAGACATCCTCACCCACTTCCAATATCTATCTCAGCAAACATACTACAGCCGAACTTCAATGGACCTATTTAGGCATTTTAAGTGATTCACTTTAGTTTTGCTCATCAGTTAGGCTAGTCGATGAGTAACCACCACTAACGTGTTAGAGAGTTATCAATTGGCCATTTATCGTGGCTGTAACTAATGGTCCATTAAGTAACCAATAGTCAAAAATCCGATGAACCGCTCAAAATGTCTTGGTAAGTTTAGTAAGTCTTGTAAATCCACAATGCTGGGTTCTCTTGTCTCCGAATGCGAGCTCGGTAAAAGATGAACCTCTGAATAGACCATTTTTGATATCGTGACGGTTATCAAGAATGTGACGGTTGTGAAGCCACTTCATATATTGTCAAGCTTGCCAAATTTTGCAAATTCTGATTCACATTCTAGATTTGTAAGAGGTGCCAGTTTCAGCATCTTGCAAACGAAATCCGGATTTTTGAAGAAGTCCGTTTTAGATAACTACTTCTTCAACATTTTTTATAATTCTTCAAGATAAGCACCAAAAAGAAGGTCTTTATCTACAGCTGATTGGTTTTTCTCAGCTTTCACGTTCAGGAATTTTGGTTTTCAGGAATTTTGGTTTCAAAAAAATTTTTGCGCACGATCCTAAAACTCATCGGTACTCATTGGTAGAAAATTTACGGTCATCCACCAACAAAAGATCCATTATTGGAAATATCAAGATATCTCCGAGATCAGCAATAGTTTTGGCACACAACTGAAACCAATCGTTTTGAATGATCCTAAATACTGCATTGGGTCTATGGTATTTATTGAACTCATCATTGAGGCTGTTACTTACTGATATGCATACATAAATATGAAACGTAAAAAAAAAATTAAATCACGAAGTATAAGGGTGGAATGCAAGAAGCAAACTTGAGTCAAGTTCGACTTGAACTTTATTTTGTAACCAATAGCGGCAGAGTATTTTTTGAGGGGAAAACCCATACTCTGTCGCTATTGATTATAATGTAAAGTTCAAGTCGAGCTTGACTCAAGTTCGCTCCTTGCATTCCACCCTAAATCTTAATCCCATTTTCTAAAAGTTAAAAATTTTCGCTCGAAAACTAGATCAAAAACGTAACAAAAAATAAATTTCTGCACGGAATAGTTAAGTGTAATGAATGCAACTCTTCACCCCCCCCCCCCCTTCTCCCGCAAATTATGAAATGAAATGTTTTGTCTACTGAAGCATGACTATTTCAAAATTAAAATACTTTTTTTTTAGTTTTTCGTTGCGGAGAAATATAAGCGCAAATACTTAAACGATATATTTGTATTTTCCGTATTTACGTATTACTATTGTGTGCAAATAGTCTAAGAATTTAAACTAAAACGTCTTATAACATTAAAGTATATACACAATTTAAAAAATTAAATGGATAAAGATAAGGTGCTTTTTTTTCAATTGATTGTATGTATTTTCGGTAATTCATGGGCATGTGGTCAAACAAAGTTTAATCATTCTAGAGGTGTGATACATAGTCCAGATCATTTCGTTAATTCCACGTGTTCATACGAAATAGATGTATCATCAGAATCTCGATGGGTTCGCCTTAATTGGGATAAATTTTCAATGGATGCAACTATGCCTTATTGTTTAGATGGAGACCATGTTGAAGTTTTTATTGGGTATAAGTTTATTCAAATTTTATAACAACAGTAATCATATAAATGTTATATATATATATATATATATATATATATATATATATATATATATATATATATATATATATATATATATATATATATATATATATATATATATATATATATATATATATATATATATATATATATATATATATATATATATATATATATATATATATATATATATATATATATATATATATATATATATATATATATATATATATATATATATATATATGTTATATATATATGTATATATACATACACATTGGATTTATTTTTATTTTAAAGCAAAAGCTAGGAGAAATAAACTTAACTATAAAATTCCTCTGCCTTTCCGCTCTTGGTTGAGTTAAGGCTAGGTATGGTGCCCCAATAAAAATACTCATCTTGGGCACAGGGGTGTGGAGTCGTAAAAAAAAGTAACGACTCTGACTCTGGCTCCAGTTGTTGGAATTTTTTGAGTACAACTCTGACTCCGACTCCAGTTGTTGAAATTTTTCGAGAGTAACTCCAACTCCAACTCCGACTACAACTCCAAAGCGAAATTTTTGAAAAATTCTTTGAATTCTTTTAAAAATATTACGCAATAAATTAAAAAATTTTATTTGCCAAATTTATGAAACGTTCTTTGAGGTTTAGTATGATCATAAGGTTGTTTGAATGTTTTGTGCATGCACGTGCAATACCGAGAAATTTTACTATAGGAGTCTAAGTCGCGATTTTGTTTAGCGACTCTGACTTTGACTCCAACTATGCTAAAAATGTTGTAACTCCGCAACTCCTACTTCACAGCCCTGCTTGGGCAGATGTTATCTACAACCAGCTACTGTCTTGTAGAAAACCTCTTAAAAAAAGAATTTTGGGTTAAGCAGAATAATTCTGTTGACCAGCCTCGAACCACTGCGATGAGGAAGTTTTACAGAAACATTGCCATATGCAGGATTTTTTTGGCGTAAAAAACATTGCTGTAAAAAAAAAATAATAATAATGAATTTTGAGGCCCTGAAATTTTGCCCAAAATACGTTCAACATTGTCAAAAAGAGTCTAAAGTAGCCCCTGGTTGATGTAAACCTGCGTTACATTGTTTCCTGCCTAGGATGTTATATGCTGGATCTTCATGAATATATTAAGATTTTTGTATGTGCCTCCTTGATAGTGACTATGCAACTCTTCCTGTTATCTCTTAATGAGGGTTTGTACCCTCATTAGGAGATAACAGGAAGCTCTAGAACTCAATTTAATGGTTTTTAGGCCAACTGGTAGAAAGGTTTCCTTAACTCTGTAATAGCTTTCAGAGAGTCTGATTCTATCAGCAGCTGTAAAATATAACATTAACAGTGTGTGAATATTATCAGTACCATGTTGCGCATATATGGTGTCCCTGTTAATGCTTTTGATGTGTATTGTTGACTCCACATAAGGAGCCCTATGTTATGACCTAAGGTTAATTAGCAGGACTGAGACCTGCATAGTTCTTTGCTTGAGATGCTGTTCTTTTTATTAATGAGTAATATTGAACATAAAAACCATCCTGACCACCTATTTATATATCTTTTGCAAATATTTGTGGTCTTCAAAATAATTTTC